TCCCTTCGCTCCTCTCTGTCTGGTCTTGTCCCTTCTTCATCTTGCAGGAAGGTGATTGTTGGCCTACGGTCCCTACAACCCCTTACCTACAACCCTTCTACACCCCAACCTAACACCACTACACCACACTACGATATACATTACATTTTCATATCACGAAAAACCTTTTATTTATTAAATGAAATATGCCTATTTTACTCACAAGTTCGAAGTCGAAATTTCTTAAATATTTAACACAGAAAGTTGAAACAATGTTTTCCACTTGAAATTGTACATATGTTAACTAATACAATAGTTCAATTTACATTTTCTCTATTTATTTCACTATTAAAACACTTTTAAATTTCTTATACAAAACTATCATTATTTCACTTATATACACAGGAATTTTCACATAAAAATAACACAGAATTCACCTTTTTTAGCACGTACAATCAACCTGAAATGTTTTATAAGTCATTTTTACATAAATTGCTGAAATTACAAACATTTTAAATTTTTACATATTCGACCTCCTAAGGGCGTGGCCAGTGCGTGCGTCTATGAACTCACACTATTTGAACAACTAACTTTTGCACGGCTCTCGGCTATCAGAAAAAATTAAAGTCTGATATACACCAATTTTAACAATATTGGGTGAATAAATGCATCTACACAATTTTCAAACTGTAGGAAACTATTTCTAATCAGATTCTTATCAGTTATCATGTTTCTTATCAGATAACAATATAAGTGAATGTTCTCATAAATCAATCATGGCAAATAGGCATTTGTTTTCGTACAAAACATATCAAACCCATATAAGACAATACTTATGCAATTAATTTCCGTTAATTCTATTTATGCACAGAGTGATCATCTCGACCGGGGAACAAATCCGATCTTTAACTTTATTTAATTATTCTTTTAAATTTACATCATTGGAAAGATGATTTCAACCGGGGAACCAATCCGGTAACATAATTTATATCTTAAAATTCCCTATATAAATTTATTGAAAGATATTACTTAGGAAAACAATAAACTAGTCCGGCCTGGGAGTCGAACCCAAGACCTTCATATCATTAATTCGACATTTCTTCAAGATTTAACTAAGCATTTTCTTATTAGAACATTGCTATTGGACAATATGCCTTTGAGACGTTATTCGTCATCGGTTGACTTAATAAACTGAAATATTCTTATAGGCGCGTCGCCAACAATACTGTGTCTATTCCTATACTTCTCGGACGTCTCGAAAATCTAGGTATAAGTGGTATGCCATATGCATGGTTTTGTAACTACCTTATAAACAGAACCCAAATATTACGTGTTGGTGACGAGCTAAGCGATAAAACCGAATGTAGCTATGGTGTTCCACAAGGTAACACTCTTGGACCAACACTATTTTTGATGTACATAAATTAATTGTGTAAAATTAAAATCGATAGTGCCGACCTTTTTATGTTTGCGGACGGCACTGTAATCCTCTTTCATGGTACATAGAGGGATACTGTGCAACATTGTGCTGAAAATGGATTACGTACGGTCACAAAATGGCTGGAAAATAATCCTTTAACCGTCAATAGTACAAAAACAAAATACATTTGCTTTTATAAAACTATAATCCCAAGACCACCACATAGCTTTTCTGTCACCATGCATACGTACCCGTGTAATACGTCCTAAAAAAAGGAGAGATGTAAATGTACAATATTAGAACGAACATCTACGATAAAATACCTTGGAGTAATCCTCGACGAAAGATTAAATTGGCAACCTCATATTGCAAATGTATCTAAACGAATTCGGAGACTCACTATAGTATTTAAGAACCTAAGAACTGTAGCGACAAAAAAGCTGCTAATCGAGACATATAACGCCCTTTGTCATTGTCTCATAAATTATTGTATCTGCTCATGGGGTGGAGCTCAAAACGTATCTTATAGAAGCCGAAAGAGCTCAAAGATCTATATTAAAACTAATATTAAATCTTCCTTATACATACCCAACATCTAAAGTATATGAATTGGCAAATGTCCTAAATGTAAGAAAATCGTATATATACCAATGCATAAAAAGATATCATAATATTTGTCCCATATGTGTAGATAGAAACAAAAGAACACAAACATGTCCAGTACCATTTGACAAAAGCGCTTTAGCAAAAAGGCAATATGACTACCAAGCACCTCATTTATACAATGTTATTAATAAAAAAATTAAATTAAAAAACTTAAAACGACACCAAATTAAACAAACTGTTTTAAATTGGCTAAAAGAATACGACTATGAAAATTGTGAAAACCTACTTTAAGCACATATTTTAACAAAAACAGACACACGCACACAAACGCACACGCACACGCACACACACACACACACACACACACACACACACACACACACACACACACACACACACACACCGATAAGATAACTGGATGGGAGGGAAACTGCCTCCTAACATACAGGGTAACCTAGTTTAGGAGTCAGGGTATCTATAAATTGTGTATTAATTCTGTGTTCAATAAAGTATTATTATTATTGGGGGGTATCAATATAGTTTTCTCATCTGGTTGGGTTCTATAAATATATAATTATAAATGGAAATGAAAAGATAAATATACATAAATATCAATAAAATTAAATAAATATAAAAATACATAAATAAATAAAAGCCCAACTAGATGGAGGCCCTCGGCAGGGGAGACCAAACGGCCGAGGGTTAGGGGGAAAGAGAAAGAAACCAGCGGACGATGCGGGCTGTATCGAGGAGCACCACCTTCTGCATTTGAGCCTGGAGCGGTCCGTCACGTAGTCCCAGCCGCCTCAGATGACCCGAGAGGCTGACTGGGATTAGCCCGTTTGCAGAGACGACTACAGGAATAATTTCGGTCGGCAGTCCACCCCACATGTCGGTCACCTCGTGAGCCAGGTCCAGGTATTTTGTTTGCTTATCTGTTTCGGCTTTCACGAAGTTCTCGTCATACGGAATGGCAATGTCGACCAAAAATATCCTTGACTGTGCCCGGTCTATCAGCACAATATCAGGCTTATTCGCAAGAATAGTCCTGTCTGTGATGATGGCCCGGTCCCAATAGAGCCTGGCACGATCATTTTCGAGCACGGCTTCCGGCAAGTACTTGTAATACGGCAATTTCCGATCCACGAGACCGTATTTCAGAGCGAGCTCCTGGTGAAGAATTCTGGCTACTAGGTTGTGTCTGTGCAAGTACTCAGAGTTAGAAAGCGCCGAACAACCGGAGATGACATGCCTAAGTGACTCACCGGGATGGCGACAAGCTCGACAGACGTCGACAGTGCCATCCTTTAGGATGTATCTCCGATAGTTGTTGTTCTTAATAACCTGATCCTGTATTGCACAGACAAAACCCTTGGTTTCCCCAAAGAGGTCACCGAAACGTAGCCAGTTGAGGGAGGCGGCTGTATCTACGTGGGGCTCATGTAGAGCCCTGTAGTACCTCCCGTGGAGCTCCTTCTCCTTCCATACGGTCTCCCGGTCGGAAATGCTCCGTACTGCCGGGTCCTGCCATTGCTCGTTGGCTAAGGATAGAGGGGGAAGTCCTTTATCACTAGAAATGACATCATTATAGAATGGATCATCCGATCTCGCCAGGAAGTAATAACGGACGGTAAAGACGGAGGCTGCACACTTCGAGTTTATTCATGGTGAGCGCGCTCAGGAAGCGACGTCCACCATGCTTTCGCGGCAAGTACAGCCTCATTACCGACGATCTCGGATGATGCATTCTATGGGACGTCATTGCAGTGCGGACTTTTCTATCCAGGGCGTTAAGTTCTGTCTGACTCCACCTGAGTATGCCAAAGGTATACATGAGGACAGGCATGACCCAGCCGTTTTATGCGGCGTGTGTCTTATTCACACCGGACAAAAGGCTGTTAAGCACTTTGGTCAAGCGTGCATAAAACACGTCGCAAACTGACTGTTTCATACCAGCCTCATCGATACCGATGTTCTGTGACATACCCAGGTATCGGTATGTTTCAGCCTCGGAAAGGGTCCTTAAGTTGACGGGCGTAGATAAGTCTATGCCCTCAGAGTTAGCAACCCTTCAACCCTTTCAACATGGAGGACCGCACACTTATCCGTCCTCAGCACCATTCTAATAGAATTGCCAAATTCACAAGTAATGTTTAGCAATTCCATAATTGTTGGGAGCGACTGGAGGCGAATAATTTGAGGTCATCCATATAGAAAAGGTGGGTCACTTTTGTACCTCCTTTACGAAGCTGAAATCCTCCAGTCCTTCCTGAAGCCCTCCAGTAAAGTACTGAGAGGGTTCAAAGAGAGGCAGAACCAGATTGGACTCAGACAGTCGCCCCTTCTTAGGCAGAACCAGATTGGACTCAGACTCGCTCGCCTAGATAACAGAGGATCGTATTCCACTGCCTCATACACTGATCGAGGAAGTCTCTAACTGTACAGTCAATCTTGTACAGCTCGAGGACCCTCTTTAGCCATGTATGGGGAACCGAGTCGAATGCCTTTCTGTAATCTATCCAGGCGGCGGAGAAGTTCCGACGGTTGCGTTTCACCACTTTACGAATGACCGCGTCAATGAGGAGTGGTTCCTTGGTTCCACGACCACCGTCCCGACATCCATTTTGAGCACGCGACATCACCTGATTTGAGTCCAGGTGACGAGTATTTCTCGCGCTCAAAATGGATGCTAGTGTCTTGTATATGGTCGGTAGACACGTGATGGGGCGGTATTTGCTCGGGTCTGTGGTAACCTGGTTTTTAGGAACCAAATGAGTAATCCCAGTAGTGAAGAGGCTACGGAGCGACTTCTGATTGAGAGCCTCTTGAAACTGACGGGCGAGCACAGCGTGACACACCATGAACCCCTTAAGCCAGTAGTGATGCAGCCCGCCGAGTCCCGGACTTTTCCAGTTCGGGGCTCTACGGACCGCCTCAGCTACGTCATCCGGCGTTATGACGACGGGGTCCATGGGCGTAATACTCGCACACTGACCTGCCACAACTTCCGTCCTAGGGCCCTCGCTGTGGTTTACGGGCTCTGACCACAGGCCGCGCCAGAATGTGACAGTGTCGGCCTGATTCGGTGCTGAGCCCGTTTCACGTACCATTGGTCGCTCCAATGATTTATAGAGCCTCTTCTGATCACTCTGGAAGAGACGATTCTGGTTGAACCGTGTCGACCTTCTCCGTATATCGCCGAATCCGCTTTCCCCAAGCAGCGATTCTCTGCTTCAGGTGGGCTATACGCTCCGTCAGTTTTTGCATTATATCCGGCTGGGACAAATTAACATTTGTCCCAGCAAATGCCATCCTGACGGTGCGCACAATCCTTGGTCTGTTGTTGCCTGACCTGAAGCATATCAGTCTGCCGATGAGGGCCCTAGCCTTTGCTATACGTTCTTCTATTCTTATTCTCCAGGCTGGGCGCTACTTTGTCCAGTAGCGTACCCAGCAGTGGAAAGTTTGGCGCCTATAGCTGAGCCAAAAAGAATTGAGTTCGTCTCGCAAAGGTCCCGACTGGCTTCCAAATAGGTCACCAGCATTGGGTTTAGAGCCCTCACGACAGCCCGATTCCGCTTGCTTAGGGCTATGCGGGGAAGTCGCGGTCGATTTTCGAGAGGCGTACTACGCGTTTCCACAATCGCCTCTTCCAATATACTCCTCATATGCTCTAATTCCAGTTCCTGGGCGACTGTTCCATCATCGTTTGAATCAACCACAACTGGGGTATTCACGGCGGCATCCACGTTTGCGGGTTGCTCTGCAATTTGTGGCGCCGCATCCTCAGCCGTAGCAATTTCATCCAATGACGGAACAGCCTCACGTCGTAGCCGTTCGAGTTTGGCGACATCAAATATATTTGAGCGCAAGAGATACCGAACTCGGTCTTCCAGGTTTTGCTCTGTGACGGTTAAAGATGGCTCCAGCTCAGCAAAAAGACGATGCATCCTAGCCCGATACGCCAAACCTCCAACTTCTCCCCCTTTCGCCCTAAAATACGCCCGCAATGCGTTAGTTTTCATTTCGATTGTCCATCGCATGTGGCGTACTCCACCAGTGGCGGGTGCCGATTGCTAGGCCCGCGAAGACCCTGCCGACACCAAGCCAGCTGGTGGGGATGATGGATGCGAGGTGCTGATGGGTTGTCGTATAAAACAAAAATTCGAAACCGCCTTGCAAATGGAAGTTTGGAAGCAGTTTTACGTGTTAATTACAAGTACAAGTAAATTTCAGCCAAATATAAAAAAGATTGTAAGCACTATGCAGTGCCGCGCTTCAAATTAATAAATTCTTTTTCAATTTTAATACATTATTATCAATTCCTTATTGTCTTTAATTACCTCTACTTCTGGCGGCCCGCCATCAATTCATAATTTGCCCGAGTGGCCCCTAGTCTTAATAAGTCTGTGCATCACTGCTCTACGGCGACTGACCGCTATGTGAGCGGCGAGCCGAAACAGCTGATATTTATACACGCCGACACAACCACTCCCCACCAAAGTAGCGAGTGACCGCGCCGTGCGATAACAAACCTGCAACTAATTGTTATGATTAATTATTTTTAAATATTATTATTATTTTTGATTTTTATATTGATATTATTATAGTTCTTTATTATTATTAATTTTAAAAATTATTATTAAAGATTAGCCTTAAAGATGTTTAACAAAGGTGAATTAGAAACATTTGTTTGTTCATTCAGCAGTGCATTGTTACCATTATTATTTTTTTAAATCTCCAACTGTTCCAGCACAATTTCCCACCGTTAGAGACTGACGTTGAATACAAAGAAGCCAAACTTCAGCAATGGGCCTCAAAATCTCTTCACGGTCGATTCGCTAATGAACTGAGTCAACCACATGTCGCTATTCAAACGTCAAACAACTGGCTCAGACATGGTGAGATCTTTGCTGAAACTGAGGGATTCATGGTGGCGATTCAGGATCAGGTTGTGCTTACGAAAAATTATCTTAAGTACATTGTCAAGACAGGTATCGAAGATGACCAGTGCCGACGGTGTCATAAAAAGCCAGAGACCATCCAGCACATAATAGGCGGCTGCCAGGCTCTTGCTGGAACCGAGTAAACGCAGCGCCATGACAACGTGGCAAAAATTGTGCACCAAGAGCTGGCAGTAAAATACGGTCTCCATAGGGAGACAGAACCCTACTGGAAATACAATCCATCCCCGGTACTCGAGAATGATTCTGCCCAACTTTATAGGGACAAGTCAGTTTTAACTGACCGGACCGTTGAGCATAATCGACCGGACATAATATTAGTAGAAAAGGAGGAGAAGCGGACGTGGTTGTTGGATATTGGCATTCCAAACTTGGATAATGTGCAGAAGTACAGCACTGAAAAGTTGATTAAGTACCAGCGGTTAGCTGAAGAAATCCGTTAGTTAAGGCGACAGCAGCAGGTACTTATCGTCTCGCTGATTCTCTCTACCACGGGAGTTGTTCTTAAATCCCTTACCGACAATTTAGCTAAGCTGGGAATTTCAGTGAGGGTGAGGAACAAAATTCAAAAAGCCGTAATTTTGGATACGACAGCGATAGTACGTCGCCACCTCACAATTTAAACAAAAGAGCGGCATCTTGCGATCAGCCAATGCCGCATCTTAAAACCCTAAAAGGAGCGTTAAGGGAGATAATATTTAAAAATAATTAATCATAACAATTAGTCGCAAGTTTGTTATCGCGCGGCGCGATCACTCGCTACTTTGGTGGGGAGTGGTTGTGTCGGCGTGTATAAATAGCAGCTGTTTCGGCGCACCGCTCACTTAGCGGTCAGTCGCCGTAGAGTCTACATTACCTGAGTATGCCTCGTGTAGAGGCGAAAGACGTGTTGTATTGTCGTCGATGGTGTGTCTTACCTGGAATAGTGGTGTTGGAAGTAGTGGTGCCCGGAGTAGTGGTGATGGAGTTAGTGCATGCAAATGAGGGAGGGCGGGAGGTGCTCTTCAATCCAGGTAACACACGTCATTGTAATCAGTTAGCGGAAGGTTGCAAAGTAATAAATTATTTATTATAATGGATTTCCGCAAAGTAACGCCTGATTCTATCAAATAACCAGTTATTCGAAGGTATATAATTCCGTATGTTAAAAGGCGAACGATGATTATCATGAATTTCATGTGGCCAAAAAACTAAATATTCGAAACAAAATATGTCAAAGTTAGATAACGTCTAATTTTTAAAGTTAAAAGGTTTACGAGTATTTAGCAAAAATAACTCAATCCTGAAAATTTTAACTACGAATCAACAAACAGGCGAATGGTCTTTCAGCCGAAAATAAATATACTTGAACTTCAGAAGTACAAATGATAATTCCACTTTCGATGTAAAATTGTTGTTATTTTTATTTTGATAATTAATTAAGATAAGTTTACAAATATTGAAAATGGATTGAAATTGTTTTGTTCATTTTCTTATTAATAATTATTTTGTTTGAGCTTTAACTTAATGTTTTAACGTTTGTATTTCGGTATAGTTTTGTAGATGTAGGTATTCAGAAAATGCGATAATACTGAAGGTAACATACGGAACTACCATAAAAGTTAACGCACCACACTATAAGAAATAAAACTAAAGCAGAAGATGAGTTTCGTATATTACATGTGGGATATCATGAAAGGGTTATTTCTCGGGCTTCATAGCCTCGATAAGATTGATTTCCCTATCGTGGTAACTTCGATATCCCGTGAGCAGTTATTTTCAGAGGCTGGATCTACAATCACCCAGAAGAGAAACCACTGACTATAGTTCAGCCGTTCAGAGAATGCGTTCCTGACACGTCGCGATTGAACTGACGACGTAACTTTGTAATGGCATTGCAGTTACGATAAAAATATTTTTGCTGGTTGTTTACCGTTTAAACAATTGATGAGCATTAAAACAACATTATTATATCAATAATCAATGAATGTTATAATTTTGTGCCAAACTGGGTGTCAAATAACTTGGTAAACAATATTTTTCTAAATCTATACTGCGCTATTACAAGGTTATGTCAGCGCTTTATATTTTTAGTGCTGTGCTAACAATAACAGGCAATAACAGTATCGTAAACTGTTCTTATACAGTTATACTTTATAAAATAATACGTTTTGTTTTTCTTTTTTAAGAATTTGAAAATAATGGACTATAAGATAACTTTTATTAAATATAAAAATAAAATTACGACCGAACCGAACGCGCGAAAGAAAGTAGCATTTTTATATTTAGGTTGAAAATGGTAACCTCAAACGGCGTTATGGGCCGTCATTTTGTCGTTTCGTGCGCATAGACCACGTTCTTCAAGTGTTTTCGATCTGTTTTTATTTGATTACCCGGCTTTCGTTTAATGGACTGTTTCTGCTTTTCAAACTGACATCGGCGCTAAATCGGACGTCGATCGTGTTTTGTATTGCGTTCTTTACTTTTGGTGCATAATAATGCCTAAACGTGGACAAACATTGAAAAGTGGAGCCCATGAGTTAATCATCAAACTGCAAGATTACTTTGAGCGGGAGCGGCAAAATGGTGGACCCCTGTTACCAGTCGAACAAGTACAAGAACGCGTCTCTCAGGCGCTTGGAGCAAACGAACGATAACAAATATTAATAAAGAAAAGTTCCGCTCTACTGGTACGGAAGATAATATTTTACGTACTCCGAAGAAGAAACGTAGAACTAAACCCGTGACAGATATTGACACCTTTGACGCCGATGCAATCAGAAATCATATATATGGTTACTATTCCAGAAATGAATATCTCAACAGGAAGAAGCTTTTGGCATCATTAAGAGAATCTGGACTGTTTTTGGGGGGTTAAAACTGCTTTAACCAAAATCTTAAAAGATATTGGTTTTTCGTTTAAAAAAACAGACAAAAGAAAAATTTTATTAGAACGATACGACATAATTTTAAAACGGATAAGTTTTCTGAGAGAAGCAAAAAATATTGATAACTGGGATAATGTCGTGTTCATTGGCGAGACATGGCTAACCGACAATCACACGGTTTCCCGTTCTTGGACGGATGATACACAAGCGTCGACGCCGAAAGTATCAATGGGTAAGGGGGCCCGTCTGATAATATGCCACGCAGGTTCTGCAAAATACGGCTTTGCGGAGAACGCGTTACTGGCATTTCTATCAAAAATCACAAATGACTACCACGAGGAAATGAATGCCACTACATTTAAAGAGTGGTTCCAGAACGTGCTTTTGCCCAGCCTACCAGAGCCTTCTGTAATATTCATGGATAATGCCTCCTATCACTCGGTTCAAATACAGAAACCACCTACCCAAGCTAATAAAAAAGAAGAAATGGTGGCTTGGTTACAAGCAAAAGGCATTGACGCAAATATGCAGATGCTAAAACCAGAGCTAATTAAATTAGTTAAAGAAAATAAAGCGGCAAATGTACGATTCGAAATCGATGAACTGGCTCTGGAGTACGGTCATCGCGTTCTAAGAATTCCACCGTATCATTGGCAATATAATGCGATTGAGCTAATCTGGGCTCAAATAAAAGGTTACGCCGCCCGCCACAATACTTCCCCGCCATTCAGCACGAAAAAGATGATGACCCTATTAAAAGAAGCCTGCGGGGAAGTCACAAGAGATGACTGTCAAAGGTTGTTGAGAAGACTAAAACCTGATTGTGGAACATTTTGACCGAGATATCAGGATTGATTCTGTTATTGATAATAATATAATTATACATGTAGGCGAAGATGATGATGCAAGCTCAAGCGAATCGGAGTCTGATTAATATTCTGTACGCACATTCAATTCAATGTACTTTATTGCATAGATATACAGATTGTAACTTTGTAACAAAGAATAAATAAAACAATTTTATTATATTAATATTAACTTTTTTTGGTTTCCACTTAAATTACTAAAATATAAATTTTAAATGATTCCGCCAATTTAAAACGAAAATAATCTTAAAAA